GTCAGGGGTGATTTGAATGCAATATTCCTGCTTCTTGGCAGAATGGGGTTGGACTGGATGGCCCATGGAGTCTCTTCCAACTCTTTGATTCTATGATTCTATGATTCTAGGCTGGATGGCCATCTGTTGGGGTTGCTTTGTATGCAATTTTCCTGCTTCTGGCAAAATGGGGTTGGACAGGATGGCCCATGAGGTCTCTTCCAATTCTATGATTCCGTGATTCTATGAGAAGTGGATAAATACTAATGTTGGAGGAACGTTTGCATGGACTCCCGTAGTTGGCAGGTTTTTCACATATGTGACTTGACCACATGACCTCCAATTTCATTCCATCTGTTCCAGTTAGGTGGGATTATTTCTCCTGCAGCAAGACTATGATAAAAAAGAAGAAAATTATGCAGCTGTTCAGTAAAGAAACAGATACTATTTCCCCACATGAGAAGGCCATTCTATCTTTCTTGCTGTTGAAACTCATTAGGCTTCTTTTAAATGTTAGTGGATGCTTTCCTCCAAAATGTACTGAGTTCCCCTAAGGGCTTAATTTGGAAATCAGATCACCAACATTCAAGGAAGCCAAAAACTCATCCCTTGCCCTCAAAGTCACAGAGATAAGCAGAAAACAGGAGCTAGCGGGCTCTTCTCTGGGGTTATTCCAGGTCATCCTTGAGTTCCATCTTCTCTCATGTGTCTCCTTCGTGCTCTACTGACTTCAGTTACTATGAGATTTCATAGGAGATGCTTGGGAAGGAGGATCCCTTTTAGTGAAAGGTGATGGATAGAGAAAGGACTTTAAAGCTCTCTGTGACCATTCTGTGATACGTGTGAAAAAGATCTTGGAGTCCTCGTGGACAACAAGTTAAACTTGAGCCAACAATGTGATGTGGCGGCAAAAAAAGCCAATGGGATTTTGGCCTGCATCAATAGGAGCATAGTGTCTAGATCTAAGGAAGTAATGCTACCCCTCTATTCTGCTTTGGTTAGACCACATCTGGAATATTGTGTCCAATTCTGGGCACCACAATTCAAGAGAGATATTGACAAGCTGGAATGTGTCCAGAGGAGGGCGACTAAAATGATCAAGGGTCTGGAGAACAAGCCCTATGAGGAGCGGCTTAGGGAACTGGGCATGTTTAGCCTGAAGAAGAGAAGGCTGAGAGGAGATATGATAGCCATGTATAAATATGTGAGAGGAAGCCACAGGGAGGAGGGAGCAAGCTTGTTTTCTGCTTCCTTGGAGACTAGGACACGGAACAATGGCTTCAAACTACAAGAGAGGAGATTCCATCTGAACATTAGGAAGAACTTCCTGACTGTGAGAGCCGTTCAGCAGTGGAACTCTCTGCCCCGGAGTGTGGTGGAGGCTCCTTCTTTGGAAGCTTTTAAGCAGAGGCTGGATGGCCATCTGTCAGGGGTGATTTGAATGCAATATTCCTGCTTCTTGGCAGGGGGTTGGACTGGATGGCCCATGAGGTCTCTTCCAACTCTTTGATTCTATGATTCTATGATAGTGGAAACCGTGACTCCTATTGAGGAATGGTTTAGGAAGCTGGTTATGTTAAACCTGGAAAATAGAAGGTCACATAATTGTCATGTTTACATAGTTGAAGGGATGTCCTTTTGAAGCTGGAATAGGCTTGTTTTCTCAATTTCAGGCACCAGGGCTCAGAGCAATGGATTCAAATTGCAGGAAGTAATGCTACCCCTCTATTCCGCTTTGGTTAGACCATACCTGGAATATTGTGTCCAATTCTAG